AAGCCTGCGTCTGAATCACTCACTGTACGTAGAGTTACGCTAACCATGATGCTAATACGAAATATGTGCATGCATCTTTCTCCAGCATGCTGAGAATGAGGGGAAAGTATAGCAAATCTGTTACCCCACTTCTCCAAAAGAACTTCCTGTCTTTAGCCAAAAGAAATTTCTGTTAACCAAGGGTACAGCTGGGGATGATATTTCCTTCTACATTCCTTAAAGGGTAAGTCTGATCGTTCATGTGGTCCTTGTCCTCAGTTTTGCAGACTAGCGCAGCCATCTGGGTATAATCAAGTACTGAAACCTCAAGAACCAGCTTTTGGGTCTGGTGCAGTTGAGTGACAGTCTAGAAAAAAACTGGGCGGAGGGAACAGCTGTTTTCACAGTAACAGAATAGGAATGGTCTTGCTGTTGGCTGTTTATAAAGCTTCGACAATATTCCTGAGCACACTTTTGGTATGCTCCATTTATTTTTTATTTCAGTCAGTATGCTGTTGTATTGACTTTGCTTGAAGCCAAAGCCTCTTCCCTTCCATGCTAGCTTACTCTGCAAGGATTTTGGTCTGTGGAGGGCACATGCAGAGGTACAGATTAAGAAAAAATGCCACTTGTTTCTCCTGAGTGCACAAACTGCTCTTCATTGTGGAAAAAGAAAAGGCTTGTCATTTCAAGAATATTTTTTAACAGGAGAGGGGGTTGTCTTGAGTTATAGTTACAATATTGTGTACACTTACTTGGGAGCAAGTCACTTTGAAAATTACTCCTGAATAAATCGGGATAGAATTGTGCTCGCCTCTATTCAAACTTTTCCCATCCTTTCTCCTCCTTGCCCCCCGAAAGATTCAGGCTAGAAAAGGGGAGTCTGAAAAATGAAACTGCCGAGGCACTCACTTCTCTTGGAGACTAAGACTGCAATCCTATACATACTTACTGGTGTGTGCCAGGGAATTTCATGGGACTTTGGAAGGTATTAGCAGGGCTCTATTGTTTACTTGTGGTAGTGGGTGTCTCCTAAATGGCCTCAGGAACGCGAATATGAAGGACCTGAGAGTATTATACTGGGAGATAGGCTTCCAGGCTGCAGTCAACACCCCATCTACTCTAGTAGAGCACACACACCTGGTGGGCATAAGGTAAGTGTTTGGAGAATCACACTGTTACTGTCCCAGGGAAGTCAAACTAGTATCTGTCAGAACTTTCTCCAAGACCGAGGGAAATGGCTAGATTAAGGACTAGCTCTGTTTTTGTTGCAACCCATTGGCAACATATTTCAGAATCGCTAGGGCTTCCTATCTGCTGTCATTACCAAGAGGCAGAGCTCTAGAATGGCCCTTGATAACTAACGGCGCATCTTGGCTCTGCTTGGGCTTATGCCTATGAAGACTGCCAAGAAATGTATGCACCTGCACTGATCCCTATCGAGAAACCAGTGTTAGTGCTTTTCATCTGTATAAGGAGCAGGTGCCATCGTCTCACTAATGAAAAGGTCCTGGGACTTCGACCATGCATGTCCTGTTTCCACTACAACGATGGTTGCCATATTCCACTCTTAAGAGCGCCCAGGGCTCCTGCGCGTGCGCGCGCGCGCCTCTAGCAAACCTGTGGCAGGTCTTGCTACGACCGAAAGAAAACAAACACTTTCGTGCTCCGAGCAGGAGGGCCCCAGTGCAAACCGACCGGTCTGTCACATTTCGGAGGAAGTGAAGTCATACGCTACCATTTCAAGAGCGGGTGGCGCGGGTGGGGGGAGACGCAAGATAATTAAGTCCAGAGCCGAAGATTACCTAATTGCACTATTGGCAACATACCGCTGACCTCCGCGCGCGCGCACGGAACACTCTGTTTGGGAACTGGAGAGGCCGATCAGCAAGAAGGCGAGCCGGTGCCCCGCTGCTGAAGGCTGGGGAGCCGATGCGCTGGCTTTCGAAGCGGACCTGAGATCAGAAACAGGGATTTCTAGGGGGTCCCAAGTAGAACAGATCCCTCCCCCTCCCCTGAGCCCTCCCGATGTGGTGCATCGCAACTCCCATCAGCCCCAGCCAGAATACATCTGGCGGGAGAAGATTAGACCCATTCTACAGGTAGGGCGGTTGTCTGTCCACAGGCGGACCTCCCGCTGCTCCGGATAGCCGTTCCCTCCGTTTCAGCGCTGTCGTGACTCGATCTATCTGGGGCAGCCAGCGGCGAGGCTGCTCCTCACTTCCTTTGGAGCCGAGCGGGACCGAGAGAGGGGTGCCCTTCACCTTTGCAGGGCGAGGGCGAGGGCGAGGGGCCCGGGTGGCGCCGGAGGGGGATGGCAAGAAGCGCGAGTGCCCCCTCCACGCAAATAGCGAAGCCCCCGTTGCTGCCGGGGCCCTGAGCTTGCTTGAACGAAGTACACTTTTCACAAGCTTACCTCTCCGCCGAAGGCATTTTGCCCCTTCTGCGTCCCCCCATTTTTTTCCAGGTGCCGCTACCACCACGGAAACACCGAGCCCTCCCCGGGCAACATTACAATCTTCTTTCACTCACGAGATGACTCTGCGAGGGCGTGACGTCGAGCAGACGCGGCGATTAATTCACTCTCGCTCCAATCCAGGCACGGGCGCGCGTCCCACCGAAGATCGCTATCGACTCGCCTGCGCGTTTCTGGGTTTTGTCGCCACTGCTCAGAGGATGCCGATCGCAAGTTCATACGCCCAGGAAATGGGAACTGAAGCGGGGGAAATGCAACATTGAGTCAGTCGGAGAGGCCAAATTACTCCCGCCCCCATAAGGAATAATCTACCTTCATGAATCGGGTATCAACCTCTTTATTCCAAACCAGCAGTAAATTAGCCAAATTGCATACCAATCGGTCCACTGCAATTCTTTGCTCAGGATTAATTAATTCCGCAAGAGCTGTCACCACCTGGGTCTGAAATCAGGATCGCCAGCACGAGCTGGAGCGGGTACACATGACAGTCAACTCACAGACATAATCCGTGGCGGTTCTAGCCACTTGCGCATGAAGAAAGTGGGGAGCGAAGGGGCTGGCCTTTTAGTACTACTGAAGAGCAAGGCACTGTACAGACAGAAGTGACTATTCCAAAACACCTCGCATTTACACCAACGCAGCTGCTTTATGAAGTCTGTGATACTACCGATAACTGTAAGAGAACATTCACAAATAAATCGCGTCATAATCGTTCATGGACTGGCCCCCTTCATCAGATGCACTGAAAAGCTGATACCATACTAACTTGGTTTGTCTTTGCAGTGTCCTAAAACTCTTTGCTATCAAGGGCTGCCTCTCTGAACCTTTGGACATGGAGCAGTAAAGATTTTTCTTAGGTCTTGTGGAAAACTGGCATGTCTAAGGTAACAGACCTTCTTCAGAATAACTCCACTCTCCCCTGGGAAACGATTAGAAAGTGGAGCGCGAAACTTCGGTTCAGGCAAGGCTAACCTATGTCAGATTAAAGTATGTGCAAAAGTCAGCTATCGCTTACAGAAATCTAACATTTCGAAGCAAATAGTAAAAACCCTCAGACATTTATTTGGGAGTTGGCAGCCTTTCAGACCTCAGCGCGGCAGGATAACATTATAGAGCGTTCGCATGGTATCCTCGTTGCCTTGCGAGGTGCGAAGCAATCCGTGTTTCAAAGTCTGCAGGCTACTACACTCGTTTGGAATGGGCTCCAGATGTGTGCTCCGTTTTCAGTCTAGTGTCTATTTATATGCGTTCAAAGTGGATAATTTCTCACTGCGAGAAAATGTAATCTGCACAGTTTCTCCGCTCTATTTCCATTCTGTCTTCGCAAGAATGTTTAATTGTTTCTTCTTTTTAATTGTGGAGTCTTTAAAAGTTGTGAGATTTTAAAGGCTGCATATGATGAGGTCAGACTCTTCGCTCTGGGACTGGGACACTGTAACTCTTAGCTACCCGAGATGACTCGAAAAGTCACTTGCATAAGTAAAACACTGCCGCAAGAAGAAATGAGCATTTCCCCCATATCGTCTAACTTTTTTCTTTTAATTCTTTCCTGCAAATTTTCAAGGCTGAGTCGAGTTATAGCACGGGATGGTAGCGGATCGAGCATTCCTTGAATCTTTATACACGTGACAAGGGTTCAAATCTCAGTCAAAGCACGCTAAAAAGGCGTAAGTAAGCACACGAAAATCCACGGGGGACTTTCCTGGGAAAAAAATTAACTAGGGGGATCCAGGCAGCAATAATGCTGTATACATTTGTGAAACGTTTCGCAGCTCATATCGGAAGTAAAAACGCGTCCACGTCTTGTAGCTCTTTCGTATAAGCCAGAGACCAGGCAATCAACTTGTTTAAAAATGGGGCGGGAGAGTGGGGAAGGGACATGATTCGGGTGTCTTCGCCACTTCCCCCCATACACTTTTTCCACAGCAAAAAGATCAGGGACGGAATTGGGGGACACAGCGCCGTGGCTTTTGTTCCCAGCAACATCACCACCACAGCGCGGAATGACGTCGCTTCTCTTTCAAACTTCGTCTTGTTTAGACTGGAGAAATTTGACGTGTTTCCATTCGGCTTACAGGATGGGAAGTGGCAGTGGATGGATGGCTTGTTTTCATACTGTCTGCATGCCGAGTGGGGTTGTGGCAAGGCAGAGACAAGAAGAAACCCACAAATTGTTCCTCCCCTGCCCATGGTTCTTTCGCCCGCCGCCTCCTCATTTTTTTTAAGGGGCTTCGCTCTTTCGCAAACACCCTAAAGGAATGAAATCACGTGAGGCCCCCAAAAGGGGGCGGGACTTTTTGTCTGGAGGAGAGGGGGGAGGGCCATTTTGTAGCTTTCCCTGCCCTCTCTCGCCTTCTGTAGACCAGCAGCAAGAGGAGGGACTGCTGCTTTGAGAATCTCTGCCCATATATATATATATGTATATATTTAAATTTGATCTTGACCAGTATAAGTGGAGCGGAAGGTGTGTGCTTTTTTTCTTTCCGTCCCATATTTTGCTGCCTCGGTGCGCCCCTAGAAAGGATCCGGGATCAGGTAGGGCTTCTGCATTTCCCCTGCAAGATCAACGCCTCCTTTGCTTCGGGAAGCTTTTTCCTTCTGCTTCTTCTGCTGGTATCCGTTCACCTTTCCCTCTTCCTTTGTCGCTCCGTCTCTCTCTTTCTCTCTCTCTTTTCTTTATATTTCCCCCCTCCTTCTGTATTGCTTTCAAGATGGCCGATCCTCTGTATGTGTGTGTGCGTGCGTGCGTGCGTGCGTATCTGAATGTGTGAGCCCTCCACAGCTCCTCGCCTGTCTTTGTTGTTGTTTTGCTCCTGGGAGGGAAGCTACGGAGAATTTCCCAACTGGTCTCTTCGGGCTTCCCCGATCGTGAAATCTTGGCAGCGCCGCCATCTCCTTAGACGCTCCCCGCCCCCACCACATCCTCTTTGCGACTGGAGAGGCTGGCGGCCAGTGTGCCCGCTTCCCTCCCTTGTGGTGCCTTTCCTTCGCTGCAGTGGCTTCCAGCTCTGGTTCACCCGCGCGGCCCTTTCTCCCCGCGCCCCGGGAGAGGTACCCCGTTTTCATGTGCCTGCATACGCGTGTGTGCGCGCGCGCGCGCTTTGCTTTAGCCGAGGGTGCTACGCTGGGAGGGCCCTGGAAGCGAGACGAAGCTTTGACAGCCAGCATCTTGCCGGCCGCGGCCAAGAAAAAGGGCTCGGCTGCTGCCCGCACCCGGGAGGGGGGCGGCCGAGGGATCCCAGGATCAGGTGTCGTGCGAGCAGCGCCGCGCTCGCGGTCTCTCCCGGGACGCGCAGGCCCTAGCGACCGCGGGGGGGGGGGGTGCGAACTGCGCTGCTCTCGTTTAAAGAGCTGGAGGGAGGAGGGCAAGCCTGGGAAGAGGCTGTAGTGGACGGGCCCAACTTGAAGCGATATTTCTTATCCCGCACGCTGAGGCAGAACGATGCCTGCCTTTGTTTCGCTTCCGCCCGAAGGGGGTTAAAAGTCTGATCTGGAAGACCGCGAGCGAGCGAGCGAGGGTGTGTTTCTGTCATTCCCCAAATCACATGGGGAAATCACCAGTCTTTAACAATGGTGCCTCTAAATCGTCAGGGGAGGGGAGCCGCCGGGTGGGGGGGCGGGTTAAGGGAATGTCATGGGGAAGAGACTCGAAAAGAGACTGGAGAAGCAAGAGCACTGTTTGGATGTTTGGCGAATTAACGTGGCACAGAAGGAAGGGAGGCGGGAAAAGACATCATGAATGAAAGAGAAGATGAACGGGAAAGCCAAATAGTTACACGTTCTTCTCTAGATTGCCAGATTAGCAACCCTTTTCTTTATGAGACTGTTCTGGTTTTTCCTCACTGTTTTTTCAAGGGTCATGTAATCTGTCTGCTCTTCATTATCTGATAAATAAGAGATGTAACATTCAAACAGACTCAATGGTGACATAAAGTATCTTCTCCCCTACCCTCAATCTGTCACAATGGTTATCAGTTCCCTTCCCCACGATAACCCATCTCTTTAGTGTCCCCTGTTCAAAATTCTACGCATTTCTCTCCAAAATTGTTATTCCTCCTTTCTAAGGCAATAAAATATTTCCAGAATCTATTTTCTATAAATGCGCACCCAAAATTCAAAGGAAAGAGCACTGTCATTTTCTCCTATAGAAGAAAAGTCTGCATTTTCTAAAATTAAGAGGGGAAAGGGCCTCTAGAATTCAAAGATCTCATTTATGTCCCACATTAGCTTCTAGAATGTAAGGAAGAAAAGATTGCATTGGTTTCTGCATTTTCCTATAGAATTAAGGGCAGGAAAAAAGGATGCATTCTCTCTGTCCCTTAGAGTTAAAGGAAGATATCTCCTTTTCCCCACTGTCAATATTTGTTTCAGAATTTTAGGGAGAAAAACTCTGGAAATTCATTGTCTAGATTCTAGAATGCCAAGGAGGTGTAAGTGCAGTTGCTTCTAGAAATTTCAGAGGAAAACGAATGGTTGGTTTCCAGATACTCTGCTCCAGAATTTAAGGAGTAAATTCTCTCCCAGGCCTCTAGTCTCCAGAGAAATTTAAAGAGCAATATCAAGAGAACTGAGCTGAACAGAAAAAATTCAGCATTTCTATAGGCTTCCCCAATCTACACACAAATCTACACATGATAGGCAGTTAAGCACTCCTTTAACAAGAGTTAAAATGCTTGATTTATGACACCTTAACACCAGCCCCAATGCTCTTTCAATGTGTAAAGGGGAGAAACTCCCTAAGTTTCCTCCTCTACGAGTCTTGTTTCTTTTTAGCATTAAAAAAACCCAGAAAAATGTTTTCTGTCCCCCTCCCATTTACTTGCTTGCATAAAGTAAGACTTTATGTTTAATAGAAGCAGTGTGGAAAGAAGTGTAGTGCTAACCTCCTCCATGAAAAGGGAAGGAGCATCCTGAAGAAGGACATTTCCATGTCCATTTCTGTGTGTGTGGGCGTGGATGAGGGGCTCTTTGTTCCATTTTTTCTGCTCTCCCAGAGCAAAATAATTCCACAAACATTTATGCATTAATTTTGCAGCCATGGAACTTATTTGAGAGTGTGTTATTTTTCCATCTCCCCCAGAATGGAAAGCAAGAGTAGCTGGCTGGGTGGGGAGCTATTTTCTTGTTGCATTAATTTGAAAACCAACATAGCCTTCTCCAATCTGGCACCCCCGCTGCTGATAGCTTTAGACCACAGCTCCCATCAGCTCCATCCATTATGATGGTGGAAGAGGATGCAGTTGCGTTGAAGGAGACACAGAACCCTTGCTTGGACCAAACACCAATGAGTCTGGGCCATCATCATTTACTTTCCTCCCCAGTGCTTGCTCATTTAAGATCTTCATGGGAAATTGGGCAGAGAGGAAGAGGTAGCAGCAGCAGTTCAGCTTCCCTGCTGGCTGGCTCCTGTATGGATGGTACTTTCTGGCAAGGCATGTGTTAGGTTTTGTTCAGAGCTGCAGGCAAGGAAATTCTGGGATCAAAGGTGTTCAGGTGGGAGCTGGCTCACCAAGAGCCTTCCACTCCCCCAGATTCCTGGTGCAGGAGTATTTCCTGCAGCTCTGCAATTCAGCCTGTGCCACTTGATGTGCAGTCTTGAAGGCTCCACGCGGTGGGATGGCCTTGCACATGAAGGTGCTGGCCTACAGAGGGTCCGTCATGGAGGCAGCAGCTGGAGCACACCCTCATTTCAGCCATCATGGTGCTGGTCTCTTAAGAGCCACAGCTGAAAGGAAGGCCACCAGGTGAGCTGGTGTCTCTTGCTGGAGTTCGACTGAGACTGTCTTTGAAGATGCAAGTTACGCCTGCATGCCTTCGCAGGGGCGGAGAGAAGCCTTTCCTCCTGCCCTCACTAGTGAGGACATCCCAGTGGACTCAACCAAAGTTCCTGGAAAATATTCCAGGTCATGGATCCCGCTACACAAAAGCTACCATTTTAGCCCCTGTCTGTGTCCCTACCCTGGAGGAAAGCACCAGACATGTACCCCTCCCCTCCCCTCCCCCAGTAAATCCCACGGCTTTTAAATTGTGCTTAATTTTAAGTACATGTGGTTCTGATTGTGATGCTGGAGTCTTAACAATTATTCCAATTCAACTAGAGCCATTAACTGTGGTGTCTCTTTCAGCCAGAAATCTTAGGTCTAAATCCAGCCAAAGTTAAGCATTGTTGTTCCATTTGAAGATTTATAGTCTGCCTATCAATGTAATAACAAGTAAGCAAGCCCTGAAACTACCCATTTGCTCCATGGAACTCAGTGGGACTCTAAGCAGCATGCACAGGATTGCACAGGAATTAGCCATAGAAGTTGCCTGGCTGAAGTTGCACTGAATGGCAGCCTATGGCTGTCCTTTGCCAGAAGCCCATTCCTACTGTTCAGGGCTGAGGGGCATGTATTTTGCCCAAGACTGACAGTCTCGCTTCACAGGATCCAAGTTTTGAGTAAGCAAACATTCTTGAGCTCAAGAATTCTAGAAGAAAACATAGGCAAAGTATGTCTAGAACTTGGGTCATGTAGAATGTCAAACTTTAGAATGGGAGGATCTGAGACTGCATTTCTGTAGTTTCAAGCTGCATTCTGGAGGTGTTGCAAAGAAATGCTTATCTGGCAAAATATCTGGTGTGCTTATCTGGCAAAATATTAAACATTTGGTCAGTGCAAGTCTTGCCATTGGTTTCAAAGGATGGGCCTAGATCTCCATGCATATGAAATAAAATCAGTGAAATGCCTCAGAACGTATGCAGAGTGCCATCACTTCATTGCAAATGAGAATGTCAAGCAGGCTCCAACCTTGGCCGTCCCCCCTCACCCCGCCACCAAAGCAGCAAAGCAGGTAGGCAGCGAGCAGGAGGCAGGCATGGGTCCCCTGCAAGCTCCCTTTGCTCATCCATATCCTTCCTTCACCTGTTGGATTCTAGGTGTGTTAGACTAGGACTCCCATCATCCCTACTGTCAGTAAAACAAGGGGCAAGATCAGGTTGGATCCAGACTTAATCATATTTTACATAGACCTATTGAAATTAATTGAGTCTTAGGTTAGACATGAGTAATTTCAGTCCTGTTGATTTCAGTGGGTGCATCTTTCTGTAGATTAAATTTGGACCCAACCTACCTCTCCAGCTTTCCATTCAGTATTTTTTAAAATAATAATTAATTTTATATTTTAAAACATTACACAGATAGGAGCATATAAAAAAGGTAAGGTAAATCCCATTTCCCCCTTCTCCCAGAATATGGCATGGGCCCAGGCTTTCCACACGATTCTTGATGATTTTTTAAACTTCAGATATAGCATCCCCATCCCATCTCAGTTCAACCCTCAGTGTTACAGGCAAACAGCCCACCCGCCCTTCCCTCCTTCCCTCCGTCTGTCCTTCCTTCCTTTCTGAAAAAAACACTTTAACAAACATTTGCAATATTGAGCACAAAATGTTGGAGGGTGATAGGGACAAGACTGCTTTGGATGTGGGTTTGCATAGCAATTCTAAGTATATCTACTGGTAAGTGAGCCCTATGAAGTGCAGTGGGGTTTCCTTCCAAGTAAGCTTGTCTTGTAGAATTGATTAGCACGATTAAAAACTTGAGAAATTATTTTAGATGTTTGGGCTACACATCTTTGTGAATATTTTTTTTCCTGGTTTCTATGCAAGCTGGGTGAGCAGAAGAGAATCTAATGCATGGCGGTGTGGGGAGGGAATGGAAAGCAGATTTGGAGGAGCTGGGGGTGCAGCCAGTACTTTGGCGTGCTGCTTCACAGGTCATTGACATGTCTGGAGTGGAAAACCGTTTGATCTTTCCAACTTCAGGCTGGAAGGTCATGTTGGCCAAAGTGCCTCTTGAGAACCATATACAATCAGAAAGTTGAGGAAGTGGGGAGAGCAGTCTCTTTGTTTTGTCATGTGTGCATGGAAGGGGGAGGATACCCTGTTTTTTTCAGCTAGACTTTTCTGAACAATCCACATACCCTAATCTTTGTGGTAGCTGTTTGTCAAAACCTCTGGAATTCTTCACCCACCTATCATTCTGTACAAGCTACACTTTGGATCCTGGCTT